TTCTTCGCTTAATGACTTATGTAATTATGATTGAAATGATGTGTTCTTAGTAAAATTTCTGCGTTTTCGTTTCGATAACTGACTGGAAAAATGTACCCTTCCAATGTGGGGATGATGTACAATTTGCGTGAAGTACAGTTCACGTGGTAGGAACTTGCTAGCGATTGATCCATCCAGCGCATTCACATTGATTACTTTAACCGCTACCGGTCTGCCGAACCTGAAATCGCTCAGCTTCTTGCGTTTCAATTATAGGAACTTGAAACTGTCGAAAGACCACTTGACACTGACATCCGACAGGATAAGTCACTCAGTTATCATACTTGTGCGCATTTCTGGACATTCGCAAAAACGACCTAGACCATAATTCGTAGGGATCACAATAGGCTTTTAAACGACGGTTTTCGTTTAATTCTGATCGATCAACTGATTATAGTGAAGGGAATAAAGTCGACTCACAATCCCGACATTGCACAGTAAACACTTGAGTGTCCACTCTTGGCTAACTTCGACAAAATAGGTCCATTGATGAACGCAGAGGCAAACTGCAATGCGAATTCGGTTGTTCTCGATGCTTCATCCGTATCACCCCTCTCACCAGTCCTGCTCGCTGTTCCACTAGCAGGCGTATTGTCGTTGGTCTCGGTCATTTGCTCTGCAGACCGTCCCAATGACCCACAAAATCTAGCAATGACCGACTCTCCGCTCCGTACCGTCACAGTCTTCCGAACAAACTTTGAACACGTAGCAGTAGCATTCGTAAAATGCGCTCATTACGTGGCATGCTCGTAAAATTTTCTTCAGTTTCGTCGATCGAAACTAATTACGGATCTAAAATGACACATTGAGCCTGAACATGCGTTTTGCATATAGCTGAAACTAAAGAATCTCCCTTATGCTTCACATAGATGTACTCGAGCAATCGCACTATTTGTATAATATCGGACCTTCAAATTCCAAATGAATATGGTTCAGTCTAAATTGAAGAACGAATTTGAATGATCTTACAATGCAAACATATGAATTGACAATTCCTTCAATTACATTTAGCACAAAGTGCGAAAATTTTTATTCAAACATCAAAACAACTGAATGATCGAAAAAAAGAAGCATAGACTGCATTGTTTCAAACACAGATATGTTCCCTAATTGGAACGAAACAATTGTTGAATGTTTGCATAATATATGCAATATTCACTAACTGAAAACTGTTTTCAGCGATAATTATGCAATATGCATTCGAGAAATATATTCCACTTGTCGAATACGATCAAATAAATACAACTTTGCAAAGAATGCGATAAGAAAACGTTTAGAGGATGAAAATACACAATGAAAATCGACTACAATGAAACGAAAAGAAATCATCGAATAATCCAAATACAGCAAAAGATTTTGTCGATCAGCAACAAGCATCAGCCACAACTTCCAAACAATACGTCGACGACGACAAGCAATTTCAGATACTTTAGAAATTCGAACAATTACCAAGAAGTACACTGATCATGCACAAAACACATCCATCCACCAGTCGGGCAAAGCATCCAGATGATCAATTGATTGCAGTGAACATACAACACAATGCGAAACAATTCATGATGACGAAACAATATGTCCAGTATGATCCATTGATGTGATGTAGCCACCATCAGACGCAACCATGCCTGAACGGCTCACGTGAACGTGTTTATTGCCGTGTTTCACGTATGCTTTCTCATCTTCCTGAAAAACCTTTCCCCTTTAATCAACGACTAAAGTTTCCCATTGCAAATGGAATTCATGCTCAGAGCCAGATTAAACTTCGAAGAATGTCACATCAAGTTGTTCAGTAGATTGTCTATTTGAAATGACAGCTGATTTAGCGTGAGAATTTGATAATCCACCATTAAACACATAAGAGATTTCAAGTCGCAACACCTTACAGCACCAATAAAGTGATCCACTGAAGAGACTGGTTCGACTACGAAATACTCTCGAAACGGAACATCAACAGACCTGAACAGCCATATCCACATAATCCGTACGAATACGAATAACTGAGCTCGACGGTGAGCAGCAAATATGTCTTGGACGGACATTCACCTCAACATCACCGTTATTCGTTTGCTTGATAAAAACACCTATAAAAGGAGACGTGTTACGACGAAACGAATCTTGTCATGAACTGTTCTATCGAATCGCGCTTGAATTGATTGCTTTTTACAAAGATCTTATTAGAGAGCATTCAGGCAATGCCTACGATTCGTTCCTAATCAGTTATTAATTATAGCTACAAAATTTGTCCGTAAAATTGCAAAAAGCGTCATTCCATATCACCAACCGTCAATAGTAATTGTTAGCGAACCATCATCTCGTATAGCGTGACGTGCTTTCCGCACAATTTCGTTGCATCGCTCTGTATACTGAAATGCAAAATATAGCAAAACTGATGCCACAACATGTTAGAAATCAACTTTTCTTTTTTCGTAACTCTTCGATTAGTCGTTTTGAATTGTCCATTTTGAAGTCAAATTGATTCACTACCCGAGCAAACCAAAATAACCAAATCAAGTCAAATGACTGCTTCACCTCAGGTCCATTTTGTGACTCTCCATAGAAAACGGCCACTGTAAAATCATAATTAAGACTTGGGAACTGCAGCTCTCCTAACGGAACGGATGAGGTTCCTGGAACTGCCGTGCTTGACACCAGATAAGCTTCAGCCAAATGTGACATCGTAAACAATACACCTTGAGGACCAAAAGCAGCTGCTTTATAAGCTGGATAGGCTGAAATGAACCGTATGAAATTCTGTCGACACACGCCATTTTGTTTGGTCTGCTTTTCCATCGAAGTATCGAAGGAGAGATCAAATTCAACTGTCAATTTTGCCTTTAACTAATGA